CCCTTTCTTTGGAGATATGCTCTAATCGTTTGTACCATAGCAAAGAAGATTTCTCCTTGATCAAGGATCTTTTAGCCACATTATTCTCAACGTTGAAGGAACAATATGGTCTATCGGGAGATAAAGATAATCGATATAATCCATCAAACAGAATGTAATTCCCAATAATTTTAGAGTCATAAAACAAATCCACTCTATTATTTGCAAAATAAAGGCAATATCCAGCCTTGTCAAGCAAAGAAAGAGATATCAAGTTCCTCCTAAATCCAGAAACATAAAAGACATTATTCAGAACTAGCTGAAATCCAGAGTCTAAATTCAAAACTAATGTCCCTATATGCTCCACATCAACACCGATATTATTTCCAACTTTAAGCTTCGACTCCCTCGGACTCGGATTCCTTAGATTTGTGAGACCCTGTAAGGTAGTAGTCACATGTACAGTAGCACCAGAATCAATCCACCAAGAATCCAAAGGAACATCAACCATATTTGATTCAGAACAAATCAACAACTCACCTTGGCTACTTTCTTTCTTTGCTTTTAGCCAAGCTTTGAACTTATAGCAATTGGCTCTCTTGAGACCCTGTTTCTTGCAGTGAAAACACTTAAAATTCTTATCTCCATGTTTCCCATTATTGCCAATTTTCTTGAACCCTTGATCTTTCTTAGGGGCATAAGCATTCGACCCTTTAGGATTCCATTTTCCTCTAAAGGAACTCAACTTGGCATTAGTAATCAAGTAGGCAGATTCATTCTTCTCCTTCTTTAACTTTTCTTCCTCGGCCACACATTTAGTAATCAAAGCATTAACACTCCAAGTCTCATTCTGAGTGCTATAAGCAGTTTTAATCTAACTGAAATCAGCAGGCATAATATTTAAGGCATGATGCACAACATAATCTTTAGAAAGCACAATATTATGGGCCTTAAGCTTGGATTGAATATGCACCATCCTCAATATAAATTCTCTAACACCCATATCAGCATCATATTTCATACTAGTTAACCCACTCAGCAAATTCCCAGCCTCAGCTTTGTCTAAAACTGCATATCTTGCTTCCACTACTGCAAGAAACCCTCTCGCATTTGCTTTTTCTGGCAAACCACTAATGAGATGCTCGACAATGGACCTCTTCATAGCAATGAGGCTTAGTCGATTGGATTTTTCCCACTTAGCATAATGAGCCTTTTGATCTGCAGTACTTTGATCATTGGGCTTGGTAGGTTCATCCTCACGCAGAGCTAAGTCCATATCCACAATTCCCAGAGCAAACTCTATGTCTTGTTTCCATCTCTTGAAGTTCGATCCAGTTAACATTTTGACAGTGGCATTATTGTTGTTTACAGCAAAAGTAACTCTTTGAGCCACATACAATGCAATAAGATCAATTATGGGCAATAAACAATTCAACAAAATAATTAACACACTATAAATTCCCATTTGGGCAGAGTATACAATGCACCACTATTTTCCATAGCATGAAGATTACAACAACAAGGAGAATTACACATAATTATCAAGGACCCATCCCCTTTGGGCAGACAAATCCTTTAAGTTATACACATCTCCATTATATCACTATAGAGGGAAATTACACATAACTTTCAAAAAAAAAAAATCATCCCCTTTGGGCAAATAAATCTTTCGAGTTATACGTCCCCATCTATTAACATGGGTACTTATCTTCATGCAATTTTCAAATTAATACACACAATAACCCCCTTTGGGCAGGTGATTGTATATACTAATTCTTATCAATAAGGAACTGCAAAAGTTCCATTCAAACAATGCCCACAATTCCATTAGACAATATGAAGCACTTTACGACATGTGCTTCTAAGGATCGTATTGCATTTAACAATAACGTGGCAATTACAAGGCAGACAAATTATTAGCCACACATGAACGAAGCTATTTTAGATAATCAGATCTCAGCTTTATGCAACCAAGATGTTCAGAAACATGTAGATAGCGACATTCAATCGAAAGAAAATCGAAATCTTAGGATTCATTCAAAAAAAAACATGAACCCTAGAATCGGAAGTAATCAAGAACTGGTTGAATATTCGAGTAAAAATACGATTTTTATTAATTTTATGGATTCTACAATCATACATGACCAAGCTCTGATAACACATGTAAAGAATTTCTCTTGACTTTATTTCGATATAGTAGCTTTCAATGGGATAAAGCGACCGATAGGTATAACCTACCCTTTTATAGGCTAGAGAGGGGACCTAGCAAACCCTAATCATTAGTGCGTTAACTCGGCCCCTTCCATCACGGGCTTCAGTTAAACACAATTGCCTACACTTTGCTGCTCAACTAGGCCTGTTATTTATAGGTGCTGAAACCCAATTCAATAAGATCACTAAAGGGTACAGCACATATATTGAAATATCCATTAACCCGAGTATTTAAAATAGAAAATCAATTAATTAATGTAAGCCCATATTATAGGAAATTTCCAACATATGTGTCACGCTCGTCTCTCTTTTCTGTTTCTCTTCCCATCCAAGGCCACCACCACCAGCCTTCCCATCAAGTCGTGGTGACAAGCCCAACTTGATCTAGGCCACGGAGGAGCTCCATGGCTAGATCCAAAGCTCCCCAATGGCTAAGCTCGACTCGACCTCGGCTGCTGAGGAGCTCTATGCTGGGATTTGGGGTACCGCTCATCGTGCCCTTCATGGTCGGATTTGGAGCAACGATGGGCGTCCCCCTCTGTCTCGTGCACTTTTGGAGCACTAGTAGCTGCACCTTCATCCACCGTACATTCGCTAGCTGGGCCTTGACCTCGGCATTAGCTGCGAGGGTAGGGGTGACGACCGAACTGGTGGTCATCGAAGATTGCAAGCCAATGATGGAATTGGTGCTCGAGCAATTTGGACATTTGCGAGAACTGAGTGATCTAAACGGGTCAACATTCAATACGGTATGGGCTAATAGCAGGAGGAGGAGGTGGAGGATGGCAAGGAGGGTGGGGTGGAAGAGGACATTCGATCCCTTTGAATAGGGGTGTCAGAACCGAACCGAAAAACCGAACCGAGATACGAACCGAACCGAACCGAACCGAACCGAAAATTCATGTATTTTCTCGGTTCGGTTGTTTGGTTCGGATAATAAATAAATGAATTTGGTTAACACAATGGTTCGGTTCGGTTCGGTTCAAATCGGTTCGGATTTCGGTTTTTTAATGTGGTTTTCTTCCCTTCGCGCTCTCTCTCCTCAATCTCACTGTTCATTCTTGCAAGATCGCTCACCTCTCACCGACTTTTCTCTCTCTCTCACTTTTTACTTTATTCTCTCTCTTCCTCTCGTCTTCACACTCTCACCGCTCTCCTCTCTCTCTCTCTCTTTCCGCTTTATTCTCTCTCTTCCTCTTCCTCTGCAGCTCGCATCATTATCATCTCCCAAAAAGTGACGAAAGACATTTTTCTCTCCGGCTTCTTGAAGTTGGGCCGGTGCAGCGCTGAGGTGCTCGGAGGCGGTCCGCGACGGGTTGGAGGCGGAGAAGACGGCCTCGTAGAGGGAGTGCCGGGCTTCACGGCCTTGGCGAGGCCGTGTCGGCGTTGTGGACGAGCATGGGCTCGAGGTGCGCCCGCACCACGCGCCCTTCCCCTTGACGGCCTTTGGCGTAGCATGACAAGCCCCTTGTAGCGCTTGTTCACGGCCTCGACCGTCGGCTCGTCGGCCCGATGCCGACATCGAGATCGAGTCCACCTGGGCCGGCGACGGCGGCTCCGAGGTGTTTGTGATGGCCGCCATTAACCAAACGGGTCGTCCGAGTCCCGGTCCTCGCTTTTTGTTGTTAGAGCGGGTACGATCGCCGGAAGTTCGGTCTCCGCGAGTGTCCATGGCCGACTCCGGTGGTGATCCGGTGGGGCCTTTTGGTGGTGGGTCATCAATTGACCCGCTTCTTGACTCGGGAAGAAGAAAGAAAGAAGCGTCTCGCAGAGAAGGGAAGAGAGAGCGGAAGAAGAAGACGAGGAGGGGTAGGGAAGAAGTGCGAAAAAATAAAAGAAGAAGAAACCGAAAAGTAAACGAACCAAACCGAACTAAACCGAACCAAATCGACTTATCGGTTCGGTTCCAATTCGGTTCGGTTCCTATTTGGTTCGGTTCAAGGAGGCACCTTAACGGTTCGGCGGTTCGATTTTTCAAGAAAACCGAACCGAACCGAACCGTTTACACCCCTACCTTTGAACAGGCACATTTAATCCAACTTAGATATCCGTATATTTACTAAACATTGTATGAGATAAGAGAAATCTTGTTTTTATTTGATTTGACCTTTCTCCTATTCAATCTTATTATCGTACCCTATAAAAAATTTCAGACGATCAAACGTAGCCTTAGGTGTTAAAATATTATTTTAGAAAATTCAATTAAACATCTCTAGGATTTTAAATGTGGACATCCTAATATTTTTTAAAATTTATCGCATCAATAAAATGCTACCCATTAAGCTAAAATCAAAAAGTCAAAAGATCAAATGACAAATACCTAAAAAAACACACTTAAATGTTCCTAATATATCAATCATTTGCATCTCAACTCAACATTATCCAAATCACAAATTAATCATTTCCATCTAAGGAACAAATCGAAAAACGACGAATTGAACTTTTCCGTCACTCTGACGGTTTGTTTGCAGTGAGTTTTGCTAATGACTTTTTAGAATTTAAGATTTGATAAATCATTTAGCAGCGAACACTTGAAAGTACAAAATCATGCAATTTTATCAATCATCATTCAAAAAATTATGAAAATTCTCAATAGTCTATAAATTTTAAGACAAATATTTTTCATAAGTAATTTCAACAAGTCACCCCGAACGCAATTCTCTCTTCTAAAAACAGAAGGCACCACAAAAACTCGAGGCCCAAGCCCAAGACCAGGCCCAAGATCAAGCCCAAGACCAAGCCCATTGATCTCACCAGAGCAAAACCGCTGCGACATGCCGTTTTTGGACTGAGACAGACTCCTAGTCCAAGCCAGCGACCTCGTCCCTCTCTCTCTCTCTCTGCGCGCTCTGCTCTTGCGAGCTAGAAGCAGCTGCGAGTTCCTGCGTGTGGTCGATCTCGGAGCGGCGAAATCGAGGGCGATTCGCGATGAGGAAGCGAGATTTGGCCATCCTCATGCTCTCCGCCTTCGCCATCTTCTTCTCTCTCCAGGTTGGTTCGATCCCTCGCGAGCGCTCTTCTCCTCTTCCTCCTTCCCCGCGCGGTACGCCCGCCGCTGGCGTTCGCGGCGATCGAGCGAGGGGATGGGACGACCGCTTGATGACGAGCGGATTCTGATTGTTTCGGTTTTTTTTTTTTTGCTCTTTTTTGGGTCTTTGGTCGTTTCCTGATCCTGGTTGAGCGTCGGGGCTTGTGCAGCACGAGGGCGATTTCTCGTTCAGGGAGGCGTGGTTCCATTTGCTGGACGAGTACCCGGTCAAGTACGAAGCCGAGCGTCTCCCTCCCCCCATCGTGGCCGATCTCAACGGGGACGGCAAGAAGGAGGTTCTCGTCGCCACCCACGACGCCAAAATTCAGGTCTTTTTTTCCGACTCTCTGGCTGTTGTGCTGTTCGTTATTTGACGTGCCTCGTGTCAAATTGCGCCGTGTCTATGGTGGTCTGTAGTCTATTCGCCGTGTCGGATCAATTGTTGTGGTAGTTTTGGTTTTAGAACGATGAAGATTTTGGCCTAGCAGGATAGACGAAGAAGTGCTTTCTGTGTTCGATCGCGACCTTTTGCATTTCTGTTTTGTTACCCCCCCCCCCGCCCGGTTATTTCTTTGTGTTGCCGGACTCCAGCTTTCTTGGTGGAAGATGAGTGACTTTCTTGATAGGATTGATCATACTTGCATTGCGATTGACGTGAGAGCTCTTTATGAGCATCTGACAGTAGATTTTCGGGGTGCATCTGCATCAAAATAAGCTGTTTTCTTGGGGTGAAAAAGGCTTCTTTAAACTTTAGTAGTTGATGACCATGTGTGCAAAGTGGATTGGTTTGCATGGTGGTGGCAACAATGGCTGGCTAGTCAGGTGGTGTGGAGGCAGTTTGGAGACTGCCATCGACTGGAACGAGCTGGTTGCTGTGGTCGCTGCCGCAGCTGCCTGATGGTGATGGTGCGGCAGCAGCAACAACAAATTTGGTCAATGGGTAATGTTGGCCACACATGGTGATGGATCTGGTGGTGTTCGTGGTTATGGTTTGCCAATAGTGATGATGATGGAGCTGGAATAATAAGTTGCTTGTGCAGAACGATTTCTATTTGCTTTGGGAGAACTAGCAGCTCCTCTAGAAAAATGATAGCTGTTTTTGGAATTTTAGATTTTTTCATGCTTTGACCAAGTAAAGTTTTGATGCACTAGTTTTTCTTAAGTACACTAAATGCCAATTTGATTGAAAATGTCTTTACAGCAAATTCCCCAAAATGAAGGATGTCGGAGACAATACCATTGGTCCTTTAACTGTTTTTTTTTTTAATATTATGGCGGATGTTCTAGGTACTGGAGCCCCACACTAGGCGGGTCGATGAGGGATTTAGTGAAGCGCGTGTCCTTGCGGAGGTTACTTTGTTGCCTGATAAGATCCGGATTGCTTCAGGGCGACGGCCTGTAGCCATGGCAACGGGTGTGATTGATCGAAATTACAAGCAGGGGCAACCACAGAAGCAAGTCTTGGTTGTAGTTACCTCAGGATGGTCTGTCATGTGCTTTGATCACAATCTAAAGAAACTATGGGAAGAAAATTTGCAGGTACGTACCATTTTGATTTGGATACCCCGAGTTGATTCATTTTTCGATATCATGAAAGTACTCTGGCAAAGGTCTGATTCGTTTGTGGGGCTTATTGGCAGGAAGATTTTCCTTATAACGTCCACCATCGAGAGATAGCAATCTCAATCAGCAATTATACTCTCAAGCATGGGGATTCGGGTTTAGTAATTGTTGGTGGGAGGATGGAAGCACAGTCTCATGTATGCTCTTCTTCTTCTTCTTTCCCAATTAGCCAATGGTGAGGGGCAGGAGGGTATAAGCTCATAAATCAGATTATTTCTTAGCACGGAACTCTGGCAGGAATTCTTCTGCCTTTTTCTCTTTCTGGGATAAATATGGAATTCTTCTGGCTGTTGCTCATCCTTGCTCATTACTTTGATTCATGTTCATCAAATCCTTTCTTTATCACTTTTATGAAGATCTTCGATGTACTAATTTTTCCCAGTTTGTATTTGCAAGGGCTAAGGCGCCTGTCTTTCAATGACAATTGCCATGGCCCTAGCCCTTAAACCCTCTTTCTTATGGTCACTGTGATATCTAAGTAGTTTCATCGGACTGACATAATCTTTTTCCCTTTCCTGGTTGTAAATAGTATCTCATGGATCCTTTGGAAGAGTTTGGGACATCAGAGAAGAATGCTGAGATGCATCGAAGAAGTGCTACTGAAAAAGAGGTGATAACTTTTTTACCCTCTTTTACTTTGATGGTCATGAGCCTTGCCATCAAAGTTGAGGTCAGTCTTCAGGCAAGGACTTTAATCTTCTGTTCAACTTGCCCAGGCTTCTGAAAATGCTGGAACTGTTGATCTGCGCCACTTTGCATTTTATGCTTTTGCTGGAAAATCTGGTCAACTTAGATGGAGCAGAAAGAATGAGGTAATTTCTCCTTTATATTTTGATATGCTATTTCACGACCTTTCTCTTTTTTTTTTTTTTTTTTTTTTGGTAAGGTACCTTTCTCTTTTTTTTGGTGCTCTTCTTAATGACAATTTGGAGAAGACTTGCACTATTGTTTAGTATCTTCTTTTGTTGTCTTCTCCGATTTTGGGGTATCTTTTCTTGATATATAGGACTTAATCTGAAGAACCATTAACATTGTGGAGAAAGATCTAACTCAGCTTTTGTAAGCTGGTGGCACTTTACTGTATGTAACATTTTCTTCCAGTTCTTCTCACAGAATTTTTCTTTTTGGTTATGTTGCCCAGAATATTGAAGCACATTCTGCAGATCCATCACAGTTAATACCACAGCATAACTACAAGCTTGATGTTCATGCAATGAACAGTCGTCACCCTGGAGAGGTATCTTTTTAAGCTTTAGCTTTATTGTCAGTTTGCATCTCTTGAAGCAGCTCTTTCTTCGTGCCATCTAATACATTAGTAATGTATGCTGATGCAATAAATTTGCCACAGCTTTAGTGCCCTTTCAACACGTGACTTTCTGCCATTCGTTTTAGCAATTTTATTGTATTCTGGATGCAGATTGGTGGTTTGATTGGGTCTCTATGTTGTCATTGTGTGTGTTAAGTGTATATACTGTTCGAAATATATCTTACTAACTACAAGTTTCAGTTTTAACGTTCACTGTGGAAGCCTCATATAACTGCTATTGCATGAAAGCATATGTCTGTGACATTTGACAGTGGCAGGTGAGACTTGGTTTAGGATGCGGTATAGCTTGCCGTTTGCAAGTTACTGTAATCTGTGGAAAGAAAAGTCTTGGTTGTAATTGACAAAGTTCTAACACACATTGAGGACTGATGATCTGATTATTAGAGGATTATATTAAGGTCATTTGCCTAATTGTTATGACCTTTTATTTACTTATTCTCTCACAGCAACGAGTTCCAATCTGTGGTAAAAGATTATCAGATCTAATTGACTCCTAATGGAAAATCGGCGGTCCTTCATATGCATGTATAATTTGGCAGGGAGTTTTTTTATATGTTGTTTGGACACTGAGTACGACCTGCTTTGCTAGTTCGCGGATAAGCTCTAATAGATGGCACTATGTTACAGTTTGAGTGCAGGGAATTCAGAGAATCGGTTTTGGGAATTATGCCGCATCATTGGGTAAGTTTATGGAGTTCTTCAGCTTTTTCTTCTTGTTATTGTGTCTCATTTGTGGTGCTACTGAAACCAAGCATCTCTTTATAGGGTAGGAGAGAAGACACTTTATTAAAGCTGTCGCACTTCAGACGGCACAAAAGGAAAACACTGAAGAAAACTCCGGGGAAAACTACTAATTACCCCTATCACAAGCCTGAGGAAAACCATCCTCCAGGGAAAGACTCAACCAAGAAGATTTCAAACTTAATTGCAAAGGCTGCAAATATTGCTGGTTCCGCAAAATCTAAGAAGGTAATCCATACAAAAGAACTAGGTGCAATTAAACTTGTTCTAACATACTTTATACAGTTCATACTTCTCATAGTTTATGAATGCACATTCTTGAGTGCTTGTACTGTCATTGCACAGCATGATTCCTTCTGGAGAGAGTTTAGATGGTTTGTTTATTACTTTGTTGTTAAGTGACCAGTAAAGTAATTTAGTTTAATGCTCCGGATCCCAGAATTAAACAGGGTAGTAAATCAGATATTGTGGATAAAATAGTGAATAGGAAGGGAAAGGTGGTTGCTTCAAACATCCATCCAGTTACTAGTCTATTAATATACTCGGTAAAATAAGGACTAGAGATTCGTTAAATGGCTATTGAATATGCTATTTGCAGGAAATCAATTCTAGTCATCCATAGAACTCTTATTTCTCATTGGTCTGCTATACTTTTTGATTTTATCTTGGATACTGAGCCCACCACCTGTACGTCTTTATGTGCTGCCAGCTATAGCACAGTTTCCTTATCGCTCATCTTTAGCTAGGTTCGAAAAGATAATTAAATTTATTTGGTTACTACTACATGTGCTTTCCATTTCTGGCATAGAAACGTGATGCATATTTATGAAATGGGAACTTGACCTCCTTGTGCTGACATGATGGCAGATGCTTGAGCTAGTCAGGCATTGAATTGTACACTAGATCTCTGGATGAACATGTCTACTCAGAGTAGAGGTCGCTAGGTATTTTGCCTAGATATTGGAATGATTATGTTTTAGGACATAAAATTGAGTTTGATTTCATTCTCGTGTATAATTTTTATGAATTGGAGGACTTTTCTGTTTTATACTCTAGTGGAAGTATTTCATACTGGTGATGTAGTCCCTGGATCTCCTGAGGTAACCTATAATCTTGATTTAGTGCAGCCAGTGAATTATATTCCTACTATAACAAATTACACACAGCTCTGGTGGGTTCCTAATGTTGTTGTGGCTCATCAAGAAGAAGGAATAGAAGCTGTCCACTTGGCTTCCGGACGGACCATTTGTAAGGTACTAATGGAAGTTACATGCTTAACTCACTCCATCTCAAAATTTACTGCAAAATACTGATGGAGTTGTTTATGGGAAGTCCCCTGATCTAAGTGATAGCCTACATATATAGCCAGCCTTTATCCTCATCTTGGGCGGACAGAATTTTTTCAAGGACAAGAAAAATCACTTCTTATGTGCAAATCTCATGCCTTAGAGTCTACACCATGCCCTTTAATCTATAAAAAAGAATTCCTGTTGTTGCGTCGCACCTTCTCTTTTCCATAATTTTATTATTGATGTTGAGTGCAGTTATTTCTTAACTTGAGTTTGAATTTGTGTTCAAAGAGTAGTACATACAAAAAGAAATACAAATTTCGGTGGATCTTTGGTCTGGATTCTTATGACTCTTTGATTATCTCACCAATATGCAATTGCCAGCAAATGCATCCCAGGGCTGATATGAATTATGAATGATGGATCAAACCATATTTTCTACAAGATCAATCTCCATATATTGGATAGCGTAATTCATACGGACGTTCAGTGATTACTCTGCTTTCTTCTAATAACATCTTCAGACTGTCATCCAGACAATACTTAGAGGAATTTGTGTATGATGCCAACACGAAATGCATTTTGTCTGGCATTCTTTTGGATAAAGATGTTCATGATATTTTGTTTTGCCATCAACACTTTGTTTGATTGTTGATGCGGGAGTTGTTTTCTTTAGCTTAATTTGCAAGAAGGTGGCCTCCATGCTGATATCAATGGGGATGGAGTTCTTGATCATGTCCAGGTAAAAAATTTTGCTTTTGAACATATTTGATTATCCATCATTATCTCAGTGTTTATAGTGTATTTGTAGTTACTTTGATCCTAGATATATGTCTATGTTTCTGTTTGTTGCATGTAACAGCTTGGATATATTTTTGTGTCACTACATGGGTATTGTTCTATGAGTGTAACAGAGTTTCTGGGGATGTTTAAAATGCTTCCACTTGAATTAAGTTGGTCTTGCATTTAACATCTTTATAGGCATTGCATGAAAGATCTTTAAGTGCATATATAGAACCATATTCTGCATGTCCATAGGACAAAGGGATTCATAATTTAAGCAAATCAAACATCTAAGAGATGACATTCCTCATGGCAATTCATGATTATATCTGCAGAATTAGCTCAATAGGTAGGGATTCATTTGTAATGAGAGTAGATTTCCATTTCTTTAGGCTGTTGGAGGACATGGTGCCGATCGGACTGTTGTTACTGGATCAATGGAAGTTCTTAGACCCTGTTGGGCTGTGGCGACATCCGGAGTACCTGTGAGAGAACAACTTTTCAATGTCTCTGTATGCCGTCATTCCCCATTTAACTTGTTCCCATATGGAGACTACTCAAGAAATTTCGGTCAATCATCAGAGGTAGCTTCTTTGGAGGTTGCAACGCCCATCCTTATCCAAAAAAAGGATGGTCATAAACATCATAAGAGAAGCCAAGGCGATGTTGTCTTCTTGACGAATCGAGGGGAGGTAGGCTCTTATTTAACTTTTGCTTTCTCTTTTAGCGACTGAAAACTTGGCTAAAAAAATTATTCATGCATTGTTATCTTATATTGAGGAAATATCCAGAAATGGGATTTGGTGGCTGTTTTGCGTAAGTTGTATTCCATTCCATGACTATACAGATTGTAGCTTCTGAAAAGGTCAGGAGATACTGATGGGTAAAGCCGTTGAAGTGTACTATTTTTCGTGCTACTTTAGATTTATAGCATCATGAATCCTTTTTTCCATCTCCCTGGAGTTTCCCGATCTTATCACGAATCATTTTATAAAGACTACACACATGGAGGAAGAATTCAATTTTCAGCCTGCGCATTAATAGTCTTGTTTTCTAGAAATTGAGAATACACAACTGAGCTGTTCCATATAACTTTTCAGGTCACATCTTACCGTCCTGGCATGCATGGCCATGATGCCGTATGGCAGTGGCAAATCTTGACTGGTGCGACGTGGTCGAATCTTCCATCTCCATCGGGGATGATGGAAGGTGGCATGGTGGTCCCCACCTTGAAGGCATTTTCTTTGCGCGTGCATGATAATCAAGAAATTATTCTTGCCGCAGGGGATCAAGAAGCGGTGTTGATATCCCCTGGTGGGAGTATATTAGCAACGGTGGAGCTTCCTTCACCACCTACTCATGCCCTCGTCTGTGACGACTTCTCAAATGACGGATTGACTGACCTCATTCTTGTAACTTCCAATGGAATCTACGGCTTTGTCCAGACAAGACAACCCGGTGCCCTCTTCTTCAGCATGCTGGTTGGTTGTCTTATTGTTGTGATGGGTGTCATTTTCGTCACCCAACACCTGAATTCTATGAAGGGGAAGCCTCGTGCCTCGTCTGGCCCTTGGTGAAAGTAGCTCGTTAGTCCTCAGACAATCTATACCGTCAGTTTTGCCGCTCCTTTTGGCCACAAGCTGCGTGATTGGAGATTGCAGGTGGGCAGAACCACCCGTTCGAAATCTTTTTGCTCGAGGCAGTTATGGGTTGAGGGGAGGATATCGTTTGGGACCATCTTTGCATACGCTTTAACCACTGTTTTTTTTTTTAAATCCACAGCATCATGCTCTGTGTAAATACTCAGACTAGTTTTACTTATAGAAAACTGCCTCGGCACTTCCATTTGACCTTCAAGGAGCTACAGAACGAGGTTTTTGTGATGAGTATGCAAAAGATGTCTGGTACCGGCTTACTAGCTCGATTGCTCAGGATTAGAAGACATGTCGATCTTCAGTGTGTGACCTGCTTACCTGGTTGTGGCTGAATGTTTCGATGCGGAGCTCCCTGTTTGAGGGCAACTCATTGCAGCCTTTCGAGACTAAATCTGTGATTTATCTCCAAATCTTCACCGAGAATTATTTGAGATCTGCATGCCTTAACGGCTCTCGTGTACTTTGTCATGGACCAAGTTTACTTTTTTAGTATGAATTCAGCATATCACTGGTTGATACAAATCGAACATGGCCCCTCTTGTGAATTTTTCAGTTTCTCGACGGTTCCTTCCACGGGTTGATTTAGGCTTTGATCTTCCTTGTCCCTGCTTTTATGTCCGTCTCGACTCCAGTGTCAAGTGTTCACTTCAACGACATTTTTTAGAGTTCAAATGTTTTATCAAGTTCTTCAGCTCCGCGGCCGTCTTTGGCTGAAGGCCACGTAATTTGAATGATTGATAGTTCAGTTTTATGTCTGTATTTCAGCCGTCTTTTATTACGAGGTCACGAGTTTTTTATGTCGCAGGTCAATTACCTGTGTCCTGTTACTAATCAATAGAAAAGAAAATAAGAACCAAGGCCATCACGCAATCTATACGTCTCACGGCATATCAACATAGGGCTCTACTATTGTACAAAAAAAAACAAAAACAGCGTTCCAACGTCTTCTCCAATGACATGGCATCTCGCATTAGAATACCTTGGCCTGCAGTGAACAATGCAGATATTTAATACGTCATTGACATCACTTCGATATTAAATGATCGATGTCAATCCTAATCCTCGATTCGTTACAAGAACACGAGATGAGCTTTATTTAGGAGAAATCCGCTTCAACGTGAAACAACAGGGATTAACTAAAACTCGACACGAATTGACATGTTTTCACTCATTTCTTAAAAAAAATACATCTCATGTTACACATTGCAACAACTAATAATATGGAAAATCAATACAAATAATATTACACGACAAGTGGAAACTTTTAAGGTACATCCGGCTTGCCATACAAATTTTTTTTTCTTTTTACGACTCTTTTATAGTTGTGATGACATTCTAAAATAATTTCACTGACTCTATGGTAGAAGTGACATATGGCTTGCGCTAGATTGATGAATGCAGACTGTGGGTTTTGGGTGATTTTCCAGGATGTTCGCAGTAAATCCATCAATGACTGATCCTGAAAAGATGCTTCCCTTCGCAATTTATATGCTTTGGCCTTCATATAGCCAGGCAGGAACGCTCAGCGTTCAGACTGAACTTTGAAGCTTTTGGACCGCACTTTGCTCCCAAAGGACAGGCAAAACCAGACTACTAATTAAAGAAGAACAGAAAAATTTTCTCATTCATTCTATTCTGCAATAATACAACAAGAAAAACAAAGGAAAAAGAAAAAGGTAAAATTTGTAATGCTTCATCAAATCTCCATGGCGAACAAAATACTGATATTATGAACTCACAAGGACTTCCACTTCACCAGCTCATGAAATAAACCTCAGTAATATGTGATGCAAAAATTCAAAGAATATCGATTTCTCAAAGCGATTCGTCGCTAACCAAGCTAACATCTAAATGTGCCGAAGATTTGCTTCTACACCGCGTATTTCAACTCATTAGTACACATTAGTAGATCATCGCATTATATACCACGACACCACAATGCCAAACACTATGTGTGCACGGAGTTTTCTAATTGTTCACTTAGACTGAATCGTAGGGCGTTTTGGCTATGAAGCATCCAGTTATAACACACAATCACCGTACCATAAGCTGCTGTTTTGCTCCACAATCATTAGATTCATCAACAAATGCAAATTTCTGTCACTGTTATTTTCCCCTCCCTCATTCCAGTTGGTTTGCAATTTTGTGCTTTTTTTTCCTTCTATCCTCCAATCCTGATTGGTGGAAGTGTACATATTTATAACGCACCAATCAGAAACATGATTAGAAAACATTTCTCCAATCGAACACGGTATTTTGCCTTTGAATGGTGAGTTCATTTGGACTAATTTCACAAAGCCATATAACTTGCTGGTTCTTCTTCCTTCTTCATGATCTTCTTCTACTCTTTGGTCCAAATGCATTAGAACACTTCACACACACACAAAAAAAAAGAGAAGGTACTTGTACTCCCTCTGGACCCATCACAGTGACTGAGTTCTCACCCCCACTATGAATAAAAAAGGGGTATGTGTGTGTAGGCATGCAGAAATAGGTCCAAACCCTAGAGAGCTCCTGCAAAATTAAGATGAATCCACACTGAGCTATTGAAGACGAAGCTAATGAGAGAACAGGCTTTTGCCCTTTCAAGATCTGTTAAGGGCGTCCTCAGCCATTGTTAATCTTAGAACAAAGCTTCCTAATGAACAAAAGGATGTTTCTCATTTAGATCAGCAAAAGTAATAATGTGCCTCTATGCATAATTGCATTTGAGTGAAACTTTTGGGACCACAAGTTAAATAACCCATGAATTTATGGATCTTGGGAGGTACATCATTCACTTTTGGGCTCACTCTAGTGTGCCTCAGCTGAAGATGCCACCACAACCACCCCCTAAAGGAGTGCCCTACTAATAAATAAGTAAGAAAAGAAAGAACCCTAGGTGATGATCTTTTTGGATGTCTTTTGGTTGTTCACGTTATACTAGTCACAAGCAAATTAGAAAATTTTCCTTTTCTGGGTTGGTTTTTTGTTTCTCTCCTGTTTCCCATTCCTCTCCAAGATGCCAGATAGCACAAGATAGAAAGAAAGTACTGGAAAAGCTGATGATTGAGCATGGTCTCTCTCTCTCTCTCTCTCTCTCTCTCTCTCTCTCTCTCTCTCTCTCTCTCTCTCTCTCACATTCATTCATGTTTGTTGTGTTCTCTTTGCGCAGAATGTCATGGACAAGCAACAATTCAGAGCAAGGAATGTTCACATCTGAGATTGGAAATGGGTTTCAAGCCCTCAACTTTTTAGCTTCAATATATCAGAAAAGGTGAGAATGCAACTGAGTTTTTGGTGAAGTTCTGCGTTTCCCAAGAATTGCAGGACTTTATTCTTTGCCTTATAGTCTAAGTCTGCATAGTTAAAGTGAAAGAATCCAATCGTTGAGGTAGCGAGGTCCAAAATAACATATCACGAGGACGATACTATACATTTTTGGTTCTACAGAAGATTGACCAGCTAGACCAAAAATTTCCAATTATGAGAAGAAACTGTCCTATATGTTTTGAGTTTACTTGTTTCCAAGAAATATAAGCATATGTTCTCTTTCTTTTTTCTGGAAAACACTGTGCCTCTGGTACAAATAGTGTATACGGTCTTTTAGTCGCTCCAAAACATGAGACCCATCTCAGCGCAGATGATTCTCATTAGATAATTATTTGAATTTTGCTCTTGAAGAGCATAGACAATCTTTTCGAAATTCATATTCTTATATCACAACAAATGAAGATTAATGATTTTGAGAATGGTATATAACCTTCTCAGATGCGCCCTACAGTAGTTTCAGTGAGTTGCTTTGCTCCTTGAAGTTATAATTAATAATATTGCCAAAAGAATAGTATTATAGCAGGTTCGGGACTCGGGGCTCATCGTATCTGCTTTTGTGTTTAATATTCAGTGATCATACTATTCATACATATCATGCCATTTTTGTAAGGACCATTTATATTAAGGAATTGGCTAAATGACGAAACAACTACGACTTTACGTCTCAAACTCTCAAGAAGTGTAGTCTCAAGTTGGACCCAGCTTAAATAGCCTTCTTCGATTGAATCATAAAGATAGACTTAAGACGATGTGTAAAAGTTGGTTCATATTACTACATCGTACCACCCGACGACTGCTCTAAAAGGTAAAATAGTTCGTAACATGCACATAAATTAAATGCAGTGTTCTTATTATACAGCTGACTACTGTTGGCCATCCCACAATTGCTCCTCAAGTGCAGGGATTTCCAGTTCTCTTTTTGGCCCAGTAAAAGTTTCCATAGCCTCTATCTTAATCAATACTAGTGCCATTATCACCAACAATTTGTTTAAATATATTGAAAACATCTTGACAAGGCTAGAACAAAGATAAAGTACATTAATCAGGAAATGTATCATATAATGTCAAGAGCAGAACAATGTGACATATTTTACAAGATGGCTACGCAATATTCTCCCTTTCTCTTCCTTGGAATCTCACTTCTACTGTTGTTTTCCTTCTTTATTTTCTTTTTTCAATATTCGTGTATCCCCTAGAAACCAAATCGATGTAGATGAAAAGTATAAGATTGTAAAAACCTAATGTACGGTCACGTTGGTTGCGTGGATGCAAAAACTCATTCCAACCGCTCGATTCGTATGCATCGTCATATCAACAATCCAAGAACGTATTTTCTCGATGATCATAGTTCGACGCACCACCACAAATAGTATAGGCATAATCTTTGACTAGGTAAGTAAAATTTACTAATTGGCAAAAAGAATTTCTGTAGGTCAAATTAAGCTATCCTTGATGTTTGCATGAGAAGAAATGGAAGGCTGCAAAACATTTAGGATGTGCAAATATTTGCCTCATATGCAGATTATATTAACTAATAGAACAGGGTTCTTAAAGTACTAAACAGCTTACACAAGAAATATGAATGCTGGTATTCGGAGCATACTTTCTAATTTCACTATGGAAATTGCGGTTCATTGACATTGTATAATGGAATTTTGCAGGAAAACTGCACCCTAATTTTCCGGGACAAGTTATCAAATTCCAGAGATGTCCTGGTCCATGATCCATCAGCACATGATAAAAGGTAAATCTTGAAATAAAACTCTTCCTCCTAATAATTATGCAGTAACAGTTGGCCAAAACTTTGCTTAACCAAGTGCAGCATATATGTTAAGGTGTGACAAGAAAAATAGTCTAATATAATCTGGACATTAGCAATATAGCCACCCATGCTTCAGATCATTTGTTGAAAATGATATTCCTCCAGCTTTTTCCTTCAAAGTACGCGTGCTGGGATCTGCGAGCCTGTGTTCCAACAATCATGTGTCTTCTGATGTGGATTTACAAAAAAAAACAGGAGGTAGAAGAATATGAATTTATTTGAGATTTGTGCCCTCGTCAAGTCCAACTCCAAATCTTCCTTAAAGCTACAGCTTTGCTTTTCGAACACCAAGGATACGAGGAAACATATTAATGAGAGAGCACAAAAATGTATATGAAATGGCCTTCATGATTCAGATCTCAGAAAATTATCTGTCCTACAGTACCTACATCTAAAAGCTGTCATATATGGAAACTAATATATAGAAGAGCAAATATACCAAGACAAAGACAAACAAATCATGCTTTTTCACAATTTATGGCCAATTTTTATAATATTGTCAATGCTGATGGTCTCGATGTTCAGCGTTAACCAGCCAAACATTCAAATAGTACCTCCTGCAATTTATATATTTCTCGAAATTACTTGGAATATAGGAGATAAAAGAAGTCCGTCGATCAGAAAGGCCATTTTTGCAGATTATTTTTCTTAACCAGGGGCCGAATGAATCATATAAAGCTTTCCAGAAATTCTCTCCCAGTTGATTGCTTGAACTGTGACCGGAAAACTGATGCTGGTATGGTCATGAATGAACATTAACCGGCTAACTTGCATTTTTTGTGTGAACTTCTCATGAGTACCAAATATATCAGTCATTTTAATTAGCACAAGACTGCTAGAAAGTTATGAATTAACTAAGAAAAAGAAGTTTGACATACCACGACACAATTCCTTCTCGACGGGACAGGTATAGTAATTAATAATCCATCTTCTCTACTCTTCCTAAGAAGTTAGCCAACACATTGTTCGAATTCTCTGTGGTCTAGGGCATAACACACAGATACCGGTTTCCACTAGAGCGTTCGCAAGATGATATGATTAAGATTTATTTATAATGATCCACTAAATTGATGCATATAACTATATGTATATGATAGTTGGCTGCAGTGCCTTTTCCATATGTACTACGGAATATATTCACATCAAGGAGAGACAAAGTTTGGAGGTTTATCATTTAAACCGTCCAGAGATGCCTTCAAAACAAAAAGTGCAGCTTTTGATTTAGAAAGAAGCATTTCGAGGCATAATGGAGAAGAGAACAGATGCACGACAACACTCTTATTGTAAGTATCATCTAAGCAAGCTCCAGAAAGTGCTCAGTTATTTTCTCAGAAATAATGCCTGAAGAATCTAACCGTACATATCATCACTAAGTGAAAGCCTCCTGTAACCCCATTATACTTGAGAACTATAAAGAACAACACACACTTAAACAACAACTTCTCAAAAGCTTGATTTAAAAAGAAACAGTTTCTTGTCCATGGGCGATCTTAACAAAATGGCACACGACATGTCAAGCGTTTGAGGAAAACCGCCATATCACCATATCCGAAACTAGACAGAAACATGTGCTGTGACCGAGATCTTCCTGTTCCGCCTAAGGAAAACATCAACTTGTGAACCCAAAAGAACGCGTTTACGGCGTCAAGAAACGAGGCCCCTTAAATGCATTATATAATGCAAATGATGCAAAGTAGCCGAGGACACAAAGTCACCTGTAGTTGCATTAAGCGCGTAGTACATAGTTTGCCTAGCTGTGACCAAATATCTTCCCCTTTTCTCCAACTTATCAGAATGGTAAGTCATATCGCTGCATGCCTCTCCTCTGCTCAACAAAAAAACGAAGCAAATATATATACAAAGCTTGCTTTTTATGACATTAAACCGGCTCAAACTAGGAAAAAAAAAAAGAAGAAGAGCATTAAGAGAGAGAGAGAGAGAGAGAGAGAGAGAGAGAGAGAGAGAGAGAGAGAGAGAGAGAGAGTACCGCTTGAACTTGACCGAAGCATGGCTCGATGCATGGCTGGTGGACCTCCCTCCCAACTGAAGCGAAAATCATGGACTCTCTCTCTCTCTCTCTCTCTCTTTGTGGATTCGAAAATCTCGGGCACTTTCTCAAACCAAAACACGAAAATCAAAACCGTGTCCCGGCAGCCGCACGGGTAATCGGGGGAAAAGCACGTCTCCGAGTCCGAAAAGCTATTCATTATTCATACACGGAATGAAATTCAACCCACCAAAAGAATAAAAAAAACAAGATTGTCAAACCGAAAGAAAGGGCCGAATGAACCCGGATACACCCCATATTCATAAGAGAAACAAGAACGAGAAACACGCCGAGGTAACAAAATTTCAAGATTCCAAGGTAGAGAGAAGATGACACAGACAATAGTTTTTCAACCATCAGCATCGAAATTTTCTCGCTGGAAGTTCTTTTTTTTTTCCCCGCTTTCTTGGGTCGTTATTCTCATGGTCATTTGCAATGTGGTGCGGTGTTCATATAATAATATCATATCATCTGATATCCCCAAAAGGTCAAGTTATAGACCACATTTGTCTAACCACTCTTCCAAAAAGTTTTACACTGTAAAAGCTTAGACAAGGTCGAGTTAGACCACACTCGTCTAACCACTCTTCCAAAAATTTTACATTGTGAAAGCTTGGGCCGCTGATCGGAACCGACCCGAACAATCGAAATGATGATGCGCAACCATCGCTAAGACCTCGAGGTAATCAGAAGGGTGACTCCCTTAATCCCATGTCAAAAAGATTAGAGCGGGCGCGGGGTTTTTCCTAACATCATCTCGGGTGAGGAAAGAACTGCACGCCACCCATGAAGTTGTTGAACTGAGTTGGGTACATCGAAGACGGGTCGAAGAGAGGAGCCGCGACCTGTGATACCGCCGCATTGTTGTTGCCATCCTCCGCCGTCGTCATCGTTTCGCCGGCAGTGGCCGCAGCAGCTATGAGATTGAGCTGTTGGATCCCGCTGCCGCTGTCACCGCCGAGGTGCACCGAGGAGCTCTCGCCAGCGGCCATGTAATTGGCATGATCGGGCCCCTGATCGTAGAGTATCCCTTTGAAGACATGCCCACCGATGTTGACGGCCGTCTGGTACGCGTACTGGTCGTCGGCATCGTCGACGGAGCTGACTCTCACGCATCGGAACACCGCCGACGAGTTGACCTCCGCCGGGAAATTCCCCATCTCCAACCCTGGAAGGAACAAGATATGTGCGCACACACAGGGAGAGACATTAAAATACACCAAATTAGGGTTGATGGCATTATTTACCAAGACAAGGAGCTGAAATCCTTCTCCTTAAATTATTTGTTTGTGTTTTATAAGTAGAAAAGTAATGATGTAACACCATCTTTCACTCAGAGAGAGAGAGAGAGAGAGAGAGAGAGCACAGAATCACATGCACAGTAAATTAAACAGTTTTTGTTTCTTCCTTCACTGTCAATCCATTCGTCAGGAATACTAAACAACAGTATCCTTGGAAAAATGGGGAGAAAAAATTGCAAAAAAACAAAATATAAAAGATTTAAAAAAAGAAGAAAAGCTGTTCCGACGTCAACACACACAATCAAGACGATCTTCTGTTCTTCGGACAAAAGGACTGATCATTCTGGGCAAAGAAAACACTGAGCAAACCCTCTTTCTTTCAATAGCAGTGAATCTTGCGGGGTTTTCGACAGCAACGTATGGGACAGCTCAGATCACGATGCTAGACTGAGTTTTAGGCAAGAATGGCCCGCGAGGGAGAGACAAATCGCACGAGAGGAGATGATTTTACACGTACCGGAGGAATTAGCGTGAGGGAGATCGTGGTCTTCGCGGAGGCGCTTGACGCAGTCGCCGCCGTGGAGGAGCTGGAGCTGCTGGCGCTCGCGGCGCCTGGAGGCGGGGACCCAGGTGCTCTTGACGTGGGTGTCGCAGGGGAAGCCGCGGCTCTTGCAGCAGGTGCGGCAGCGGAGGTGGACGCAGTCCTTCTTGGCCTGGTTGCCGCAGTCCTGGCAGCTGATCCCCCCTTCCCTCATCAGCAGGAACGCCGACGGCCCCGATCTCAGGCTCTCGTCATCCGACGCGTTCATCCTCGGCGACGGCGACGACGACAGGTAGAGATCTTGCGGATGCTGCAGTTGCGGTTGTAGCTGGTGGCATAGCTCGAAGCCCTTGTAGGAAGAAGAAGAGGAAGACACCACGCCGTTCCGATACCACAGCCAGTTGGGGTCGACGCCGCTGCTGTGGTTGGCCTGTTCGGTCTCTAATTCTGCGGCGGCAGCCGGTGGTTGGGATTGTTCCTTGTGGGTTCCTCTTCCGCCGCTGCCTAGAGAGAAGAGGCCTGCCATTTTTGGAAAGAACTGATCAATTTTGAGCGGGAGCTCATACCCACCATGTCATCTGAATGGTTTGAAGCAAAGAGAGGGAGGGAAGCTTCTTTGGGGCTTCCATTGGAGAGTGGATCAGCAAGAGTCTGGAGAAGAAAGAGAGAGAGAGAGGGAGAGAGACAAAGAGGGTTTCTTTATGGGAACTGAGTTGGGTTTGACACAGAGAGAGAGAGAGAGAGAGATTAGGAGGGGATGAAGTTGAAGAGTACCTGTGATGGCAACATGGAATTGTTGCGGGCATTAAAGACCGCAGAATCACGCTGTCTCTGCAACGCCGCCATGATCTCTCTCTCTCTCTCTCTCTCTCTCTCTCTCTCTCTCTGCGGCTGTGATATATTTGCAGCTGGTTTGAGCTTTCCTTTAGCAGCAACTAGCACTTCTTGACTCTCTCTCCCTCTCTCTCCTCTCTAGTCTCAAGCCAGTTTGGCTTTCTAGTGTATTAATAATTTCTAAGAGAAAATCCTTGTATACTAGAATTGATAAGATTTTGTTGAAAAGTGCCACTTATTGACAAATGAAAAAAAGAAAAAAAGAATTTTTGTTCATAGTACATGGAACACTTACTGAACTTATTCGATAAAGAAATATTTTATATTTAAAGTACTGAACACTCGTAATGATAGAACGGTCTATATATTGAAATATGTAACGTTCACTCGTTTAGTTGCTTAACAAGTGCCCCGAAATCATCTGTTTACCATGTGAAAGTACAGTAAACTTTTCAACTTGGTGATTGTCATTATGATATGCACGATCAATGTTGCGAGAATTAAACGATTCTTCACGAACGTGTTACACATGCTCTAAGGGTACTGGTTAACGGTACCAAATTAGTGTACAATGGGTCTATCAACTTGATCCATGGGGATGGAAGCGAGATGGGTATAATCGGATGCACAACTAAGTAAATGTTGAAGGGACATAAACGAGTTTCAAGTTCTGGGACGAGTTTAAAATCAACTATTAAAAAACATATAAGATCTAGGACGAGTTTGGGATTTATGCTTAGAAAATTCAATCTCGAATTTGGTATGAATTGATTGCTAAAATTGATTACACAACACACGAAAAATAATATATTCAACACCGTCGATTTTCATTTTAGTTGTTTCATCCATGTAAAATCGATACACGGGTGTTAAATCGGCCTAATTCCAAAAAAAAACCCCAAACTTTACACTTTGTCCCAATTATACCCTGAACTTTTTTTTGTCTCAAGAAAAACCTCAAACTTTTCTCCGAGTCACAAATCTACCCTACCGTTATAACTCCGTCCAATTAACGTCAGAAAAAAAAAAAAAAAAAAAACAGAACCAGCAGCTGCAGCACGGCCAAGCCTTCGCCGGTGGCTGCTGCCACAGCCGCCGGGAAGGAGCGGCGGCCCTTGAGGCCTCACCTGGGGTCGGCGGCTGTGGCGGCGGCCACCGGCGAAGGCTTGGCCGCGCCGCAGCTGCTGATTCTGTTTTTTTTTTTTTTTCTGACGTTAATTGGACGGAGTTATGACGGTAGGGTAGATTTGGGACTCAGAGAAAAGTTTGAGGTTTTTCTTGAGACAAAAAAAAGTTCAAGGTATAATTGGGACAAAGTGTAAAATTTGGGGTTTTTTTTGGAATTAGGCCGTGTTAAATCTTGTGAAATGTCAAACATTTAGTTTTCACACACACATATATCTTACATCTTATGATATTGCACGAAGAAAACAGGCACACCAGTGGTTCGTCCTCTATATAGGAGGAAAACAAAATCCTCCTAGTAGCAAAATGAAGAGGACTAAAAATTCATTTCCAATCTTGTTATGACTTATGCAGAAGTCTAAACATATTAAATGGTTTGAGTAAGAAATTAATTGCATAAATAGAATCTAAACTCGATGGATTTATGTGGTTCGGTTGTGCATCTGCTCTGATGGGAGAGATCGACGAGATGATTCCACTATAATCAGGATCGCTCAATTATACTCATTCATAAGTGTTTCAAATTCCTAGATTAAACCGAACCCGCAGGAATCAATTGCATGAATAATTATATGCAAAAAACTCAGAGCCCTTCTCTAGCATCAACAAGAACTTCACGTTCAACAAGGAAAGAAATACTATGCGAAATTAATTTCTCTTTTTGCATCGCCCACGATTCTATTGGCAAGAGTCTATTTGGATTCTCCTAAAGTTGCATTTCCAATCAATTGAGATTAATGTCGAGTTATAATCAACAAATCTCAACTTTCATGAAAAATCCAACTCGTAATTAGGAGTGAGCGATTCCTGCTCCGGTGCGGTCCAACCCAAGAACTGGGAACCGGACCGAGAGGACCAGGGACCGGACCGCCTAGTCTTGGGACCGTGGACTGGACCATCTTTCCGGTCCGGTCCGGTTCCAATGGGATCAATCACTTATTGGTAAAGGTAAGAGGGAATTGGAGAAATTAGATTAGGCTTTCTATTTTTTTCAAAAATTTTAAAAAGTAAATAAATATATATATGAAAAAATTAGAAAAATATATATTTATCAATCCGGTCTAGTCGGTCCGGTCCGATCCAGTTCCCATCCTAGAACCAGGAACTGGAAGGCTCGGAAACTGATTCCACTTTTAAGAATCGGGAACCGGACCAATATTCCTAAGAACTAGACCAAACCGGTCAGTTCGGTCTGGTCCCGATTTGGGCAGTCCATCTTGCTCACCACTACTCGTAATTCATCGTCTCTTCAGTGCCCCTTCAGGCTTGGTCACTCTAGTCAGAACCGAATAGTTATGTAAAATATTCTTGGTTAACATATTCATTGAATATCTATCGTATGCACTTTCTCAACAGGTGTTACTTCGTGTGATACGATATCAAACATAAAGTAATACCCAACATCAATGTGTTTACTCTGCCTCATCTGCACTTTAGTGAACTTTAATGCACTTTGATTGTCGCAATAAACAATCTTCTTCTACTGCAATCCCAAATCACTAAGAAAACTTCTGAGCCAAATAGCTTCATTTATTGCCTCAATTGACGCGATATACTCTGCTTCAGTGGTAAATAAAGCAACTATCGATTGTAATTAGCTCGCATGTCATTCAAATTGCTCCGATCTCTTCTCCTCTTTCTTTGGCTCTTGACAGTTCCTTGCGATGTGCCCCTCTATCTCACAGTGGTAACACCTAAACGGCTTTCTTCTCGCTCTGGACTTTGATCTAGACTTGCATCTGCTGCTTGAACCCTTCACTCCGTTGAGAATGTGAGAAAAACTCCTCCTTCGACGTCAACATGGACACTAGACCAAATTGAATAATAGAACGTTTGTATGTAAAAAAATCATGAACCTTCTCCGACGTCAACATGGATTTCATATTCAAGAAGGAAAAGAAATGCTATCGACACTTAATTTTCCTTTATGCGCCATCCATGATCTTACGAGCAAATTTGGACTTTTCTAATATGATCTAGGTTTCTTTGCAATTCAATTATGCACCAAATTTTAAATCAATCGGGATTAATTTCAAGTCAAAATCGGTAAATCTGACTAATACTATCACAATACAACACGTGTTGTCGTACATCACTAACTCTCTTTCGGTCTCTCTTTTGCTTTGCAAAAAGTAACTTTATAGAGCCCTTTGTTCGATACATGGAGGCTGTGTTCGTTTCCGGAAAAATATTTTTTCGGAAAATATTTTTTGCGTTTTTCGGTATTTGGGGGCGGAAAATATTTTTCATGGGAAAACATTTTCCTTCCCCACCCCCAAATCCTTCATTGTTTTGAGGAAAATGATTTCCTCTTTTCACAAAGAGGAAATCATTTTCCCCCAAAGTGAAGATAAAATTGCTCATGGGAGGGAAAATATTTTCCGTGGGAGAGGAAGTTGATCGCCGGTCATCGCCGTCGCCCGCCAGTCGCCGCCGCCGCCGGCTACGTGGTTGCCGCCGCCGGTCGCCGCAGCCGACGTTCGACGGTCGCCGCCGCCGATCGACGGCCGCCGGTCGCCGTCGCCGATCGCCGCCACCGGTCGTTGGTCGCCGGTCACCGTCGATCGTCGGCCGCCGCCGATCGCCGCCCGTAGGTCGCCGGCCGCTGGCCGGTAACCGTCGCCGCCGCCCGTTGCCGACCGCCACCGACCGCCGCCGGTCGTCGGTCGCCCGATCCACCGTCGGTCGTCGGCCGCCACCGGCCGTTGGTCCCGTCACCGCCGCCACCCGCCGCCCGCATCGCCGCCGTCGGTCACCGTCGGTCGTCGGCCGCCGCCGACCGCCGGTCTTTGGTCACCGCCGATCGCCGCCCGTCGCCGCTCGCCGCCGCCGACCGCCGCCGGTTGCCGATCGCCGCCGCCGGTCGCCGGACGCTAGAAAATATTTTCTGAAACTTTTTCAAATTTTAGCCGAATACCAGAAAATTGTGTTCCAGGAAAACATTTTTCAGGAAAATGACTTCTGAGAAATCTCCGCCAAACGAACGGAGCCGGAGTGTCTTGAATTTTTTTCTTTCTCTTTTCGCATTTGATAATCCCATGACCATTATGCAACCCTTAATGAACAAATTATTATAGAAACCTAATCAACTTTAGGAATCACGAAACCGGAATTTTTGTAAGTCAATCGTGTTCTCAACAAGATAATATGCGCGGTTTTATTCACACAACATCATGGACTCGTAGTCACTTTGGCCAAACTCGACGAACTTGGACATTTCCTGAGGTGAGTTCCAGGCGTTTATCAGTTAAATCTTTTCGAGCATCTAAGGTGAGCTCTAGATATTTCGTTAAGAAATCCTTAAAATCCCAGGATGAGTTCCGCGTGCTCATCATTCGGGTAATTTCACCATTACATCATGCTCCAATGCGAAACTCAGGTAAATTGAGCACGTGAGTTGCGAACTACACCGCGCGATGCCTCCGACAAGCACTGCACTCGACAATTAAGCCACTGTAGAAAATATTAAATAGGCAACTACATGTAAATATATAGTTTAGGGTTCACATGTATTTTAAACTTTATGGTGGACCAACGTTCACATCACATCTCTGCTTATAACTCTAGGGTAATAATTTTTTTGCCAAGGAGCAGTTAGTGGTCAAAGTTTGACTCCACTTATAAAGCTGGGGCGAAAAGGCATGTGATGCCCAATTATTTACGAACACCGCACTCGGAAAATAAACTACCCAGTTATTCATTTACTTTTTATTTTTCAGAATACGCACA